CGTGGCCCCTGCCCAGGTGTGCCTGTTCCTCCCTCCTTGTGGCACCCACTTTGTTGGTGTCTCCCTGTTGGTGCTGACCTTGTTTACCCTTAGATTTCAGAGATTCTAAACCCGTTCCTGCATCCTGTTCCCTTGCATAAATGTGTGATGTTAGCTCTGAATCTTCTAGAAAAATTCTCGTACACATGTAGAAGATCCCTGATACCCATTCTCAGGGCCCAGGTTAAAGACCCCACCACCCATCACTTGTGTTCCTGGGGAAGGAAGAAGGCTGGGATCCAGGTGCACTTGTGTGGTGGGTCCCACAGAAGGGAACCCAGGGAGGGAAGAAGGGCCACCCAGGCAGCCTCGGGTTGCTCAGGGACCCAAGCTGATAGATGTGGCTTGGTGTCCCCAGCATGGAGGCAGAACCTGCTCTTCCAAAAATAGCAGTTGCTGTACATTTCAGGAGTCATAAGAATGTTATCAAGCCTTTGACCCATTAATGGCTGTTCTGGGAATTTAGCCAAAGGAAATGATCCAGTAAAGTAAAAAGATGTATGTGTAAGAAGGCTTGCACTGCAGCATGACTTCACACTTGTGGACAACTGTGACTAGCCTAAATGCTCAGCACATGGCTAATTAAATTGTGACACATCCTCTGGATGGAAAATTATGCAACCTTAAAAATGATCATGATGAAAATTGTCACATCAAGAAAATGATGAGAGAGAAGAGCAGGACACAAAACTGTATTCTGGCCGGACACAGTGGTTCGCGCCTGTAATGCTAGCACTCTGGGAGGCCGACTCAGGAGAATCTCTTGAGCTTAGGAGTTCGAGACCAGCCTGAGCAAGACTGACACCTCATCTCTAGTAAATCAGAAAAAAAAATAACCAGGTGTGGTGGCTCACAGCTGTAGCTCAGCTACTCGGGAGGCTGAGGCAGGAGGATCGCTTGAGCCCAGGAGTTTGAGGTTACCATGAGCTACGATGACGCCACTGCACTCTAGGCTGGGTGTCAGAGGGAGACTCTTAAAAAAAAAATTGTATTCTGTGAAGGTGATGCTGGGATCTATGTGTGCACATATATAAAGGCAGAAGGACACATGGAAAAGAGAAAAGGATAATTTAACTTGGGAGATAGAATTAAGAGAAAACTTTAAATGTTTTTCAGAGTTGCTACGTGGCAGTGGTAGTTCTTTTTAAAAATAATTTTAAAACTGGAAATAAACACAAAACTTCCTGTTGCCTCCAGCTGTGATCTTAACCCTGACCCCAGCTACACTGTAACTACCACAGTTTTCGCAGAAAGGGAACATCCCTCAAGGTCCTTGGGCTGGCCCCAGACTTCCACGTCTGCTTGGACATGACCTGAGAAGGCAGACCCACGGCCAGGTATGAAGCAAGGAGACTCACAGCCAACACAGGACGGGAGTGCCCTCTGAGGGGACCAAGTGACAAAATAACCGCACAGGGCTGGCTCCGTTCTGTAGTTCTCGTGAACACAGCACCTTACCAGACACTACTGACCAACAGTTGAAGTCACCCCTCCTCTTGGATAAAACTTTTGCACCAACCCTATATTTTCATATACGTTCAATATTGCCTCTAGTGTGCGGTGACAAAACCAAGGCACAGAGGGGTGAAGTTTGTTCCAGCTTCCAAGGAGTTAGTGGCA